TATAAAATAATAATTTGATCCGTTGAGATACTCGTTCGTAGCCCTTTTAAATAAAATAAATATTATCTGCAGATATTTCCGCTGTAATTACGTCGGTACGTCGGATAATGTGCTGCGGTATTTAATGTTGGTAATACGTAAATAAGACATATTATATTATACGTAAATAAGACATATTATACTATACCTACCTGTAATGGTTCGGAGGCGGTAACAATTTTCACAGAACATGCACTTTTACAGTTGCCGATGTAACAACAAATACAAAACGGAATAAAATTAATATTTACCGGGGGGGCACCCATACAAGAATGTATCATAGGTATTATTTTCATAGAGGTACTCGTATATACCTATCTATGATACGGAATCGAATTCGACTCTTACTTAGCCGATTATTTCTAAAGAGCGCCATGCTGCCGCCGCCGCCCCGATCAACTTATGTATGCGCCCTTAGCGACCTCTACGCTTGAACGGAGTTTGTTACCCGTTGTCAGTGAAGGCACGGTTTCAATTCAAACCAAAATGGCGCGTCCTCAAACAGAGCTCTCTCTAGGGTTTGATTCTGTTATGATATTGCATGATGAATGGGGCTAGCCGCTAGACGCTTTTTGTTTACATGCCTCTGTTTGTTCACGGAATACGCTTGCTTTGGTGGTTCACTTCATGTGGCATGAAAAAGACAACGATTGTTTTTTAAAAGAAGATTATGCTCGAAATCGGCAGGCATTTATTGGTGTTTGAGCAATATTCAGATATTGTTGCATCTCAAACTAGCGCGTCCTCACACAGGACGCTCTCCTGGGTTTGATAATGTTATGATAGTGTATGATGAATGGGCGATCTGCTAGAGACTCCCTGTTTACATGCTTCAGTGTGTTTGTAGAATACGTACGTAATGCTCGCTTGGATGGTATACAATACGTGCTGGTATCATAAGGAAGCAATTGTTTTGAGAGTGAAATTCTGTCTAGCCATCTGTTTTTGATTGGATATTGTGGCATCATGAGCCACGACAGTCCGTCCACTGCTGGACATGGGTACTGTATTGGCAGTGGGATTGCATAAAACAGTACATATTGAAAATTATGTGTCTTTTTTATGTTGGAAATAATTATCCCTTGTTGGGTTGTTAGAGTAATCAGTCGGAATCGCCGCAAAATTACTAGAATGATGAAAGTTTTGCGGGTTATAACTTAAAAATTATGAGTCATCCCATCACCAGGTATAGTATAGTGACAGACTGACAGCCAGCACATTCTCCTAAATATATAAATACTGCTCATACACGGAACCCTCGAATTCTTAAGGCGCCTCCAACGACACCCGCGGGATAGAAATTTCATACACGAGAGCGTAGCATGAGAGGGAAAATAATAAATAAAATATACAAACAAGCAACCAAAGCCGTCAGAGCGCGAAAGGCGGATGTGTCAATCTGAATTGTGACAGCTGACAGGTGGTTCTTACATTGTTTGCGCGATGTTGCGGTATTTTTCTGGCGCGGTAGATATTCCTCATATCAACATCTTTTTGTGTAGGACACCTAATCGAATGACCCGATGACCTCTACGTGACAGTTTTTTTACCGCATACTACCGCGTACTACTTTAAAACCGAGCATAGGTATTTGCAACAAAATAAAAGAACAGACGACGATGCCATATTGACTGGCCGCTGTCACAGGACAAGCTATCATTTTACAACGTTGATTTTGTGGCAGCATCTCGCTGGGTAGCAAAGTCTGATGGTGGAGTCAAATATAGTGCGGCAAATATGAAAACCATCTTACTCAAAGGGCTCGTGAGCCCGAGCGGCGACTGGTCTAATCCATACCTCACAAAAGAATAGAATAATTTAGCTATGTACGGGTAGAGGAGCTCGAGTACTTCGGATTGGTCGTGGTCTGCCGCGGCGCAGCTTGGCACGTTTGGCGGAGTAGCTAAAAGTATGCTCTCTTAAAAAAGTAAAAAATATCTCATCGAAGAATAGAATGAAAATATATCGTACCGATAGCTTGCTTGAGTCTGCCTACATATATACTGGTCTGGCTGGCAGTTTTCAGTCCGACCACTTTTACTTTTTAGTAAAATTTTATCTCTTCGAATAAAAGAATAAAAATATGTCGTACCGATAGCTTGCTTAAGTCTGCCTAGAAAAATACTGGTCTGCTGACCACAGCCTGGCAGTTTCAGATACGACCACTTTTAGAAATTTTTATTTCTTCGAATAACAGAATGAAACTAAGTTGTAATAATAGTTTATTTAAAGCTGAACACATATCCTTGGTCTGCCTGAGCTCAGTCGTAGTTTCTCCGATGCGATCACTTTTCACTCTCAGTAAATTTCAATTTTAAAGGACCTGACTTTGTTTATTAGGAGTGGGCCCGTCAATAAAATGAAAATTTGTCGGTGTATAGAAGTGAGCTTTACAGAGCTGTAATCTCTCAATGTCTAGATGAAGAATAAGTATGTTAATTTCAAGAATCTACATCTTCAGATGTATTCGTAGTAATTATTTCAAAATACAATACTTGGGAAAACATTTTCTTCATCTGGACATTGAGAGATTACAGCTCTGTAAATCTCACTTCTATACACTGACAAATTTTCATTTTATTGGCCAGGCCCACTCCTAATAAACGAAGTCAGGTCCTTTAAAATTGAAATTTACTGAGAGTGAAAAGTGATCGCATCGGAGAAACTACCGGACTGAGCTCAGGCAGACCAAGGATATGTGTTCAGCTTTAAATAAACTATTATTACAACTTAGTTTCATTCTGTTATTCGAAGAAATAAAAATTTCTCAAAAAAGTAAAAGTGGTCGTATCTGAAAACTGCCAGGCTGTGGTCAGGCAGACCAGTATTTTTCTAGGCAGACTTAAGCAAGCTATCGGTACGACATATTTTTATTCTTTTATTCGAAGAGATAAAATTTTACTAAAAAAGTAAAAGTGGTCGGACTGGGAAAACTGCCAGGCTGTGGCCAGGCAGACCAGTATATATGTAGGCAGACTCAAGCAAGCTATCGGTACGATATATTTTCATTCTATTCTTCGATGAGATATTTTTTACTTTTTTAAGAGGGCATACTTTTAGCTACTCCGCCAAACGTGCCAAGATAGCAGAAGGCAGACCAAGATTTATAAGCTTTACTAAACTGCTCCTATCGCTACAGCCATGTCTCATTCTATTCTTCGATGAGATATTTTTAACTTTTTTCAGAGGGCAAACTTTTAGCTACTCCGCCAAACGTGCCAAGCTGCGCCGCGGCAGACCACGACCAATCCGAAGTACTCGAGCTCCTCTACCCGTACATAGCTAAATTATTCTATTCTTTTGTGAGGTATGGATTAGACCAGTCGCCGCTCGGGCTTTTATTATAAAATCAAATCTGACGCATGTGTGTATCATGGATGAGCTATAGTCCGTCAACTTCGTGCGCGACCCTCCCTAGGGGTGACAGAAGTTGGGGGGTGTGATGTCAGCGGGGAGCAGGAGGTGTAGCGGGGAAGGGAGACACGCGCACCCGCGCCGCACGTCATATTAAAATGACGTGCTTCCTCGCTCCCCCACCGTCTGTACCCCGCAGGAGGGTCGTGCACGAAGTTGTCGGACTATAGCAAACTGGGAAAATATAGCAGATGATAAGGAGTTATTGTTCTAATCAAATTACATAAAACCTATGGACAGGTATCTACGGCTGCGAAGTTTATGAACCGCCCTTTCAGAGGCATTCGTAGCACGTTGCTGCCATATGTAGGTATGTAGGTAATAAATTATTCTAAAATCTTTGATATCCGCAGGTGGTGGACACGGTGCAAATGACGCTGTCGGGCACATCGTCGACGATCCAGGAGGCGGTGCTGGAGCCCCCAGTGAAGCCCAGCAGATCCACCGGGAGACACTTCGCGGAGCCCCCCCTGGACGAGCTGAACCCGAGGCTGCGGCTCAAGCTGTGCCTGCAGCCCAACCAGGACATCTGCAGCAACTACACCGAGGCTGAGAGTAAGTGGATTCCATCAGGCTAGAAGCAGTGCTGGAGCCTCTAGTGAGGCCCAACATTTCCACCGGGAGACACTTCGCGGAGCCCCCGCTGGACGAGCTGAACCCGAGGCTGCGGCTCAAGCTGTGCCTGCAGCCCAACCAGGACATCTGCAGCAACTACACCGAGGCTGAGAGTAAGTAGATTTCATCATCATACTGGCTAGAGCCTTCAGTGAAGCCCAGCAGGTCCACCGGGACACATGGCGGATCCCCCACTGGACGAGCTGAACCCCAGGCTGCGGCTCAAGCTGTGCCTGCAGCCCAACCAGGACATCTGCAGCAACTACACCGAGGCTGAGAGTAAGTAGATTTCATCATCATACTGGCTAGAGCCTTCAGTGAAGCCCAGCAGGTCCACCGGGACACATGGCGGATCCCCCACTGGACGAGCTGAACCCCAGGCTGCGGCTCAAGCTGTGCCTGCAGCCCAACCAGGACATCTGCAGCAACTACACTGAGGCTGAGAGTAAGTGGACTTCATCAGGCTAGAGGCAATAATAGATACTGGAGCCCCCAGGGAAGCCCAGCAGGTCCACCGGGAGACACTTTGCAGAGCCCCCTCTCGACGAGCTGAACCCGAGACTGCGACTGAAACTGTGCCTGCAGCCCAACCAGGACATCTGCAGCAATTACACCGAGGCTGAGAGTAAGTGGATTTCATCATCATACTGGAGCCTCTAGTGAAACCCAGCAGATCCACAGGGCGACACTTCGCGGAGCCCCCACTGGACGAGCTGAACCCGAGGCTACGGCTCAAGCTGTGCCTGCAGCCCAACCAGGACATCTGCAGAAACTACACCGAGGCTGAAAGTAAGTGGATATCATCATCATCTGCCAGCTCGCCAATCTGCCTGCCAAGCGTGGTGGGTATGGCGATACCCACGATAGAGGTAGTAAGCCCATGTCCGGCAGTGGACTGTTATGAGCCATGTTAAGAAATTGAAAAAATGTCATACATCGACCGAGGCTCGGACCCGGGCCGCATTTGTTAACACCCCACCACTCTGCCACTGAGCTATCGATGCAGCTATCGATGCCTGCTAAATTTCCAGACTCTTGATGCTCGTCTCCAAGCGAAATTCCAATAAATTCATTATCACCATAAACATTTAACCTATAGCAAGCAGTCCACCGCTGGATGTAGGCCTCCCCTAGGGTAGGCACGATATCCCATTTTCACAAATCAATCGCTACTAGCCGCTCTCTTTAAATTAAGTTTGAGAGTACCTAAGTTTATCATACATACATACATACATCACGCCTCTTTCCCGGAGGGGTAGGCAGAGACTACATCCTTCCACTTGCTACGATCCTGACAAACCTCTTTCGCTAATGGTAACTTATGTGATCTATGTAGTTTTAGGTGCGATGAACAATATGCAAGTTTTTGTTGACATTAGACTGTATCCACAGAGCCGTTTAAAATCGTCAACAAGGTAGAAGCTATACTAGCCAACTTATACTCGTCCATACGGCCAGTTTCCCACGCCTGAAATGGCTAGTGGTTCACTGACCCTAACAAAACGGCTCTAAAAGACATGAGATTTTTGTGATTCTGATATACAATACCTACATTTCACGTCATTATCCCTTGCGGGTAGGCAGAGCGTGAACGATCATAAAAACGGACGTTAACGCCAGGCCGGGTTTGATTAATATTTGTGTCATTTCGCATCCCTGCCTGCTGAAATGACAGATGGTTGGCCCATCGCCTGAGATTGCTATACAGATATAGGTTGTCCACTTAAAATCATAGTGTCATAACATGACCGGCCTACGTGGCAGGCCAAGTACGCCGGTCGCGTAGTATCTAAGTATTGCGGCCAGCGTAACTTGGCCTCCCCGCTTAGACTGGTCATATCATTTCATTACACTATTATTACAAATGGATTTTAAACCCGCTAGTCTAGTCAGTAGTTAGTCCCTCAGTAACATCACAAAATAGAGAATTTACAGAAGGCCAGCTCGCCCCTTCTTTCGATCACTTATGCCTACTCTGTAGGGTTGCTACTTTTACTTTCTGATTTTTTTAATGAAGTTACCTTTCGTTTGTAAGTATGAATTAGGTATATGCAATTGATAAACTCCTAAATTACCTGGCCGATATGAAATATTTTTACCATATGGAAGTAGGTATACCTACTGAGTACAAAGAAAGTCATGATTCTAATAAGAAATAAGTAGGTCCCCACCTAAATCGGTAGATAGGCAATGGGTTTGGGTCACGAGACTAGATGGTGAGCGAAGCGACCCATAGGTAGACAAGTAGGTAAGTAGGTAGATAGAGGACCGGCCGGCGGCAATGACCGACACGACAAAGGATTCCTCACGTCGTTCGTCGGTGTTTCCCACGGCAAAAAAGTGTATCTATCTAAAAGAAAGGCCTAAAAAAATACCTGTTTTGCCATCACGAACTATAATAGGTTAGGTACCTATGGTTGGGAGGTAGGTATTTTTAAACAGGGATTCAAGCCATCATGAAAGTCACTAGTCAGTCGCACACAGATTACCTACCTACCATTGTATTGGCGGGCGGGCGATACGCGCTGGGAACGGTAGGTAGGTAGGTTGGTAAGTATGACGACATGACAAACGCGGGGACGCGTCCGGAAAAAATTCGGGCATGGAAGCTGAATCTGTAGCTGTAAGGTGCTGTAAGTTGGTAGGTAGGTAGGTAGGTACCTACCTCAGTTTCGAAGTATACCTACTTACCTACTATAGTTTCGAAGGTCACCAGCTGCCGTGACGAAAAAATTAAAAAATATCCAGTATTGTTATAGTCCATTCGGACTACCAGGTAGGTGGTACCTACCTACCTGATGATCGGAAATGAAGATGACATAACCTGGACCTTTTGCTATCGGTAGGTATTTCGGTACTCATCGCTTCACCTCAAAAGCTGACTAGGTAGGTATCTATCTACTGTGGGTAGGTACCTACCTAAACCCATTTAACCTACCAAATCAAACTAAAGCGCAGCCTACCTACTTCTACGTACGTACCCAAAACGCTAAAGCACATATTTCGAACGAAAAACAAGATTTTTAAAAGAAATTCCTCCATTTCTAGTTGTACTTACTTTTCATTATTGCGTGGGAAACTGAAAAATGACAATGCACAACTTTCTGTGGTGTTATTACCCCCAAACACATTACAAAAATATTTTTCTTTACTCGCCATTCCGTCCGCCCGCACCGAAGAACGCGCCGTTCACACTCAACCATTAGCCGGTTCGACACGGTTCCACAGAGCGCGTAAACGACGCGTGTGGATGTCTGAGTGAGTACAGCCGCGTTTGCTCAAAGCCGACTCTCTGGATTGCGCCAGCCAATACTTACTTTGTGGTAACATCGTAACTGAATACAGTCACCTACAGAGTTTACCCCCGTCCTCGATTATCACAAAGTGAAAGAAATTGGATGATGCTATTCTAGTCCAACGTCACTCTACTTGGCACCCGTCTGTGGTTGAAACGCTCTTTGACTACTTAGTATTATTTACGCAAGAATCACATGTGAGATGTTCTTTGCTACCCTGTTTTAGCATCGCATGCGTTAGGAAAATTCGAATTTTCACTTTCCTTTCATACGAATGTACGGTTTATGCTAACGGTTTGACGGACACTAAGGACAGACACTAACGCTGCGTGTCACACAACGCCGTGTCTGTCGAACTGTGTGACTTAAACCGTAGGTATTTGTATGGAATAAGGTGAAAATTCATAGATTGTCCTACCATGAGTTACGCATCGCTAAAATAACGCAGCAACGCACGTTACTTGTAATTCCCGCCTTGACTTTCATTCAGCCCACCTTTACTTTGAAACAGGGCCGTGCCGAGGTATTTGTTTTCAGAAATGTTATTTGACCTTTCCATTGTGAATGTTTGACATTTAACTTGTGCCTGCTTAACCGTGCCAAAAAGGACACTATTCAATTCAAATAAAACCCCTGTGTAACCCCAGGCCGTCCCAGAGGCGCGCGAACGAGAGCAAATAGTGGGGCCGTTTAAATAAAATTACAGATCTACTTACAAAGCAAACCTATTTTTTTCCTAGAAAAAGTATTTTTTAAATCAAGTAGTAGTTGATTTTCCAGTTTTAGATTTCAAATATAGTGCTCTTACATAAAAAAGGAGACAAGACCGACATTAGTAATTATCGCCCGATTAGCCTTGTATCCCATCTTTATAAAACATTTATTAAAATCATTGAACGTCGGATATCCGGAAAACTAGACCTACATCAACCCCCAGAGCAAGCAGGCTTCCGACCTGGGCTTTCTGCAACCGACCATCTGCACACACTTAACCAGCTCATTGAAAAACACCAAGAATTCAATATACCACTCTACCTTGCCTTTGTAGACTACTCAAAGGCTTTTGATAGTTTACTACATACTGCAATGTTTGATGCCCTTCAAAAACAGGAAATAGACAAAAACTATATAGACATACTCAAGCTTATATATTCCAATAGCACCGCTGCCATTAAACTAGAAAGCACAGGTCCATCGTTCCATATCAGAAAAGGCGTCAAACAAGGCGACCCTCTGTCCCCAAAATTATTTACTAGCGCACTGGAGGAAGTCTTTCAAAGGCTTGCAAATACTTGGGAAGGGCGAGGTGTTGACATTGGCGGAAGGAGGTTAACAAATCTTCGTTTTGCCGATGACATCATCTTATTTTCAACAACAGCGTCAGAACTACAACTTATGCTGCAAGAACTGAGCACTGCTAGTCTTGGGGCGGGACTAATGATGAATATGTCAAAGACCAAGCTCATGACAAACAGCACAAAATACAGGGTGATAGTGGATACTGGGAGAATGGAATATGTCGATGAGTATCTGTATCTGGGCCAAATAGTATCTTTCCAGGCGAGACAAGATAAAGAAGTTGCTCGACGCACCGAAAACGCCTGGAGGAGCTATTGGTCTATGAAAGATCACATGAAGAGCGACCTACCAATTTCGCTCAAACGAAAACTCATGGATGTATGCATTCTCCCAATCCTCACCTACGGTGCTCAGACTTGGTCTCTGACAGAAGCTCAAAGGTCCAGCCTCAAGGTTTGTCAGCGTGCCATGGAGCGCAGTATGTTAGGCCTGAAGCTGGCCGATCGGGTCAGGAATACTACGCTGCGTTCCAGGACAAAAATTACTGACGCTGCCCGCACTGCAGCCAAGCTGAAATTCGACTGGGCTGGTCACGTTTGCCGTATGCCAGAGGAACTTTGGGCAAAAACATCAACTCTGTGGCAACCACCCACATCGAGAAGACGCCGTGGAAGACCCCGTCGCAGGTGGCGCGACGAGCTGGATGCCTTTAGCAAAGATTGGCAATTGGAGGCCCAAATCAGAACAGGGTGGAAAGAGAAGAGGGAGGCCTTTGCTCAACAATGGGACGATACGGGCTAATTAAGATAAGATAAGATAAGATAAGATTTCCATATTGCACGGTAGATAATCATTAATCAATCAATAGACACATAGTATAAAATGATGTCGCTTTTTTCACCGTGAAATTCGCTAACTTGTCCTAAACCACGCAACAGATTTTGATGCGGTTTTTTGTAATAGCTAGGGCGATTGAAGAGGAAGGTTTATATGTTTAACACATGCCGGGAAAAAATAGTTGCATCGGGTGAAACCGCTAATGGGCCGCTAGTACTTACAATATACTACATATTTAAACAAAGAGAGGCGTCGCCAGTACTGATGGCGAAGGTCGCTGGTTAAAATCCAAAAGAAAAACTAGATTGTTCTTTTTAATGATAGAACAATTTTTGTTACTTAGTTACATAGATAATATTTCAGTTTTAGATAATGATTTCAATAATGGTAATACATCCATAAAGGTCCTTCCATGATTTCCTTGTTTAGTAATACGAGTATAAACGTTTTCTTTAAGTATTTCATTAAACTCCCATAACATACTGCGGTATATTTAATTTTTATGACATCTATATTAATAGTTTAGTTAATAATTTAACATGCTCGTTTTATAACCACTGTACTCGGTTACC